CATCATAATCATATTCCTGACATGTTTATATTCAAGCTATATTACTATAAACAAAATTATATCTCCTAAATTGGATAACTAACGGAGTCTGTGCCATGCATGGCTTGTTTTCTATAATTTATTAATTTTGGCTAACATTTTTACCTTGTCCCTATCATCGTCGTTGTTGTTGTTAATAATTGTTAATGTGTGCACATTAACTTTACTTATTCTATTCCAAATTTTATCAAACTTGGTGACCTAATTCATCAGTATAAAATCTTCCCTTAGCTTGAGCGACAGATGTCCTGTGTGAAAATAACATGAAAAAATTGAAAACTATAGCCTGCTCTCAATTTTTGCCCTGAATTGACATAAATTATACCATCTTGCATGCAGATATGCTGCCCCCATTATGTGCCTGAATTATACCCCTACACAGAGATATGCTAATTTTATGTCTCCAATGTGTGGTTATTCTGCTTCCAATATATATTATTACCCCCCCCCCCCATCCCCCAAACAGATTTTCTGCTCCCAATGTGTGATGTGAATTATATCCCCTCAAAGACTATGAATAATAATTCCCTTGTAAAGAGATATTTTGGCCCAAATATGCGCCATGAATTATATTCCCCCACATGTATTCTGTTTCAAATATGTGCTATGAATGAATACAACAATGCAACTACAATTTTTCATCCTGTTCAGCCAACTAGAAATTATGTACTCAAATAATTAAACAAATTAGGCACCAATGTTTTTGTAAGATATTTACATTTTTTTTTCGTACATCAACCAAAGACTTTTAGTAGACTGCTTTCACACGGCTGTTCCAATCCTAAAACTTGTTTTAATTCAAAATTAATTATGACAATGCATATTCATAATGGAAGAAATTATGATAAATGAAATAATATAATATAACAAAGGGCAAGGTCACCAGAGTTAAACTATGTTTAAAAATTCTTTTTTTTTTTTTATTTTGTGAAATGTGATAAAAGTAGACATCATGTTTGAGGTGATTATTAAAATTTCTGTTGTTTTGGGAATAATATATTTGGCAGCGAGTATATCTGATTCACTATATATGTGTAAAATATATTCATATTTTGCTGTTTGTCTGAAAATAAATTGAAACAGTTTATACATTGGAACATAGGTAGTCTAATAATCGAGTGTAGTGAAATGCCATAGTTTTCATGATCATATCAGTGCAGAAATTATCCATAAACGAGTAACTTTATCCTGTTTGTCTAATGTGATACTGGTTGAGTACTAGTATAATCAAAGCATTATATGCATATTACCTATTAGATTAAAATTCTCTCAATATTTCCATGATGTATACTGTAGCGAAAGACAAATTTTTGCAAAAGTTGTGAGTCAGTGAAAATTGCTAACTTTTATAGCTGTGAACATTTCTCTGGGGTTCTATGACATCGACTGTCAGTGGCTTTCAGGAAATGTTGTCTTGACGAATGCCATAACGTCTTCAAATCAATGAAAATAATTAGCAGTGAAAATTGTTTTTTCAGCCATTTTACTGCTATGGTACTATAGTTGGCTGTTATTGAGTTATTCCATGACAGCGTAGTCACAACAAACTACTATAATACCGATTTGTTCTATTAGTATGTAGCGCATTCTATTACATAAATGACAGTGGTATGTCTATGGTTGGAATTAGTTAGTACTTATTAATAGGGCAGTATACATGACATGCAAGTTTTGGTTATTGTGTACTTGTATAAGAGATACACTTATAATAAAAAAAAAACTATCATGATAATATTAGTCCACACAATCACATCCCAGGCAAGCTCAGTATAGTATGTACCCTTTTACTAAAAAGCCTGGAAAAAAATCTCAGAAATGACTGTTTGACAAGTTACGAAAAACATAATAATTCAAATTCATTTCAGAGTTATGAACAGCACTTGAATGTTTTCAACATCGTGCTGGCCAGGCAGCAAGCCGAGACTGAGGTCGCCAAATCGGGGAGTAAAGTGACGAAAAGTAAATCCGAAGAGAAGGGCAAAAGTAAAGGGTGGTTCGGCGGTTACTTTGGTGGCAAGAAGAAAAAAGAAACAGAAGAAACGGAAGAAAATAAATATAAGAGCCAATTTGCTGAGGCAATGTCACCTGCAGAGAAAGCGAAATTGTTTCAAGCAATCGGATACAGTGAAAGCGGCGCTGAAGATCCAACTTTCCCAGTTGACGTAAGTTTCAGCTTTGAACTTGATAGTCATCCTTTGCTGACCTTTTATGCCTGTTGAAGTCGCAATCATCATTGCATGTCATAATTTCTTGTAAACAATGTATTTTAAATGCATTGTTCATCATGTGTGGGTCCCATACAGGTATACATGTAATTGTATCGTTTTTCGTGACCAGAGTGCAAATCTCACCAATGAAGTGATGAGAATTTAGATTCTCACTATTATATCTGTGAGAATATGCCCAAGTCTACTTGAAGTGTGATAAAGTTTCAGTTTCTCACTCTACTCACACACGTTTTACCAATTAACGATTGTGATGCTTTAGTGTAATTTTGATTTGAATTTTGGATTATCCAAATTATTTATGGTTCCATTAATAATTGATCTATTATGTGATCAAGTCCATTTTTCTGCACAAATTAAGATCAGCCTTAATCATGTAAATGATTTTCTTTGGAGAAGGAAATTGTTGGCCATATTGACATTGATTAGTAAATAAATGTACACTGTATCATTTGGCACATGTATGCCACGAAAAACGTTTACTGCAGATTAGCAAGTCTTGTCGTAATGGACAGTGGTTTGTGTCAAATAAACATGCTTTTGAATTTGGCGTAAATAATGCATTTGTTCCACATGTGAATATGTTGCTAAACACATGGTATTTTCTTAAACTGGAACTTGAAAGTGATTGACCTTGTATGACCTGACCTGATTCGTTTACAGTATATTGGTATGAAGCTTCATTTTACGTTAAAAAAGACGTCATTACAGTTACGCGACACTGACCTCAAACAGCCAGATATTGTCAAGGTAGTTGTTGACGACTTGTACGCATCACTACAGCAAAGACCTTCTGGCAATGCAATTAGGTAAGTGCAGCTCGGAAATGTGTTGATAGAGTGTATGCATGGAGCATGGTGTGCTTTTAATTAATTAAATACATTTGTAGTGTGGAAAAGATCGTTAGTTGCATTGGCACAATGTTGTGCTTACAGGCTTGTAGTATTTCTAGTTTTCAGAATGGCATCACGTTGGAGTCTGTTTCTGATGCCTGAATGTCTGAATGCCCCGTCAATGAGTACCAGCTGGCCGGGTGATGAGTCAAGCATGGATCTGTGGTACAACAGCATGACGTTGCTGAATTGATTACCATAAAATATAAATATTCAGCATGTTTTTCTAATTAAAAAACTGAGCTGAGCCCCTTCTCCACCCACATCCAACCCCCAAATTGTTTGCACGATATGGTATACTGTAAAACATGTCTTTTTCACGAGCATGTCTTTTTCGCAAATTTAGCGAGAGAACTGATTCGCTAATTCAAGATGTCGCGAATGACTTTATTATAAATTCAAAATGGCCACCAAACAAAGAAATCAACAATGACAAGAGAGATTCACTAAATCAACATTTCGCTATTACGTCATTTTACCACAATTTGCTAAAATTGCATGCCGCTTTTTCAACATGTTTTACAGTACATCTTAAGGACCTGTCTGGTTAATAATATTAATTATAACTGTATCTAGCTATGGTTATGTTATTTATTTAAATTTGGTGAAAGTATTAATACTTTTTTGTATATTTAATATGTTCATGGTTAAAACACTTTGTCGTTTCTCTTAGCGACAATGTAGATGGGTGACAGGACAGTAATATTCTCAGCCTAAACATGACAGATTATTGCCATATTAGAATCTGGGTATATATAAATGAGCTATTCATATTAGAAATAAAACCAAAATTAGTGCAGTGGCTGACATTGCTTACATCCATCCCTGTGACACTTGAATTTGTGTAATTTGAATATTATTTGCATATCATTTGCATATCACCACTGTGGCATTTGTCGCTAAAGAATCTGACTTTATTTTACTTTAACAATACATGGGATTTATCATTACAATTTATAAAGTTTCCTTTTAATATTCACCTCATCCACTTCACCTCAATAACAAGCACGATTTTCCTCATTTTGGCTGCAGTGCCGACTTAGAGGAGCATTTTATAATTTCATCTTTAAGGTAATGTTTGCATGCCTTGGTATTTTTATTTTTGTTAGAATTTGTGTACTGTTATTAGAAGTTGATCTCTGTCTGCACTGTCACAAGTTGAGTCAGGGAAATTCATACATTTTGTAGTACTGAATTTGAAAATGATTTTGTAAATACAGGGAATCATAGTGGCTTTCTGAATTCATATCATTCTGTTTTTAAATTATCATAATAGTTCGTGATAGTTACATACACAATTATAAACTTCTATACCTTCCTAACATATTTCAAATGGTAGTTATCGGAAATGACATAAACAGTTTATTCATTCCATAAAGTTGCATCGTTAACTTTTTCCTGCATTTACTACAATATGAGAAACTTATCATGGTACCTTGCTGAACGTTTACAATACACTAGACATGAGAATCGTCTTTATTCAGTGTCATAGCATTTTAGTTCTAAGGGGGCATTGCATTTCAGTTAGGTCCATTTCATTTTGATACCGCCAATGAAAATAAACTTAGATGCGGAGAAGATGAAGTTATTTTCAGACTTGAAACTATTGAAACTAATAAAGTTAATAAACTGTTTATGTCATTATATAATTATATATATAATATTCTATTCTACTAGTTATTAGACATGTTTTGTTCTATCAACTATTTTTCTACAGTTTCTCACTCTGTTCATATGTACAGTTGTATCATTGAGGGAGGATACTTTGTCCAAAATGTCTGGTTATATTGACTAATTTCCAAGGACTATGATTACCAATCGTTCGTTGCATTTGATATTTGTCGGTCCTAGCAGCTTTCATCAAATTTGAAGTCTCTATATATTAAAGTGTACAGTAATTGGTTTTGTGCATGGCCCGCCCTACTTGACAATCACCATTATAGTGTAATGAAATCGAACGTAAAAACAGGACAAACAAAGGTCATAGTGTCATAGTGGCATCAAAGATCACGTGGGATATTTTGGGGGGCATTTCCATGCTTAATAATGTGCTGTACACATTTGATGATAGACAATTCGATTAAGTGAGCGTATTCAAAAGCAATATTCCTTTGTCGAAGATCGGCCGGTCGATGTGAGTTACGAAATAAAGAAATTCGAGTTCAAAATCAAATCGTTCGATTTTTGAGGCAGACGTTCGACGTGCGTCTATCATGGATCTCGCGAGATCTCGCAACGTAAAATTATCTATTGTATTGGTAGTCTAGATCAACTTCCTTCTTTCTATTCTGAACAAATATGAGATATTAGATATGTGAGAAAATATTCTGAATTTTTTTTTTTTTAGGGTGATTAGTTCTATTGCAAACCATTTTAATTTTTTGGGAGACAAATTGTTGCAAATTTTGTAGCAGGGAAATTTATTTTGGGCTCTTTAAATTTTGACTAAATTTTGTTTTCACATAAAATCATGAAAATTAAATGGATAATCAACCCAGGACTGTTTTTACCTTGCCCGTACCATCAAAGATGGAAGGGAAAGGTATATTAAGGGAAAAATTTCTGAACTGCGTTGTCGCCGGCGTCATCGTTGTCGTCCTCGTTAATAATTGTTATTGTGTGCACAATAACTTTACTAATTCTATTCCAAACTTCATCAAACTTGGTCACCAAATTCATCAGTATAAAGTCTTCCCTGAGTATGATCAACATATGTCCTGTATGAAAATACCATGCAAAAATTGAGAAAATCTGATAAAATATTTTGACTGTTTCTATTTGACTGATCACTGGTGATACACATTCAAAGGTCACTGATCTCAATGGAAATATGCATTGTTGTCTGTGTTCAATGAAGCAAATCATTTATCTTGTAATAATATCGTTGGTAATGTATTTCCCAAATCCCATGGGACTACTAGATTTGGTTTCAAAACCAACTCAGGGAGAGAGTTTTTGCACAGTCTAACAGACTTTGTTTGGCACCCAGTTCATACGAGTGCTTATATTGATTTTCTGACATCTTGTTTTCTGTAAATATTTTATTGGTAGGTTTGCAAATGTGTATCATAAGTTCAAAGTTATCAAATCAAAAACAATACAGAAAAATTACATAAAAAGCAAAACGTTGCATCCACATTTTGAAAAGTAAAGTGTACTCCAAGATATGTATTCTGTATTTGACAAATAAAAATTCACAGGAATTTGTTTCAGCTATTAGAACAGAATGATAGAGTTTTTGTAATACTAATTTAAAAGATGCACTTCAAAAACAAAGATTGCATTGTATGAAGATGTAGATTCTCAGGAGGCAACAGTACTGTTGACTTCTCTTTCCACTGGACACCAACTATTAAACTATTTAAGTTGATTTGCATACAAAGCAGAGCTTGCAACATGATAGCTATTCATTGAGGGTGTTTTCTTACTTTTCAAATAATACAATAATCACACAATGAATATAATAAGGCAGTTCATATTTGTCTCAGTGAATCATTAATTTTCGACATACACCTGTACAAAATACTTGGACAAAAGCCAGCTGAGATTTTCTGTTATCTTGCATGGTTTATGAATCCATTCATGTCTAAATGCAGCACTTTTTTTCTGAGATGAGGCATTTGTTTTTATACTAAAATATCTGAATTACTTTGAATAAAGCTGAAATTATGTCCCTTAAAATAATTAAACAAATTAGGCACCAATATTTTTGAAGATATTTACATCTATCAAGACATTCGGTTGACTGCTTCTCCACTGTTGTTTCAACCTCAAAACTTGTTTGTATTCAAATTTAATTATGACAATGCATATTCATATTGAAACAAACTATGATAAAGGGAATAATATTATATAACAAAGGGCAAGGTTACCAGAGTTTAACTATGGTTTTTGTTTGTTTCTGGACCGATTATGATTACGTTACTGTTTTTTGCATCGATTGCTGAATTAAATCTTTGTGCATAAAACTACACAAACTGTATGGATACTGTAAACTTATTTTACAGCAGTTAAATTTCTCTGGGTGTATTGCGTGTCAGTGCAGGCTTTCGCAAAGTTTTGTCTTAACGAGTCCTGAAATTGCATATACATGTATTTCTAGTAGTGAATTTCACAGTACATGAATGGCATGGCTTTACTACAAATTTTACTACTACTACTACTCTAAACATCAAGGAAAATAGACCATATAATACAATTCTAAATCATAGTTGAATAGAACAGTGATTGATCACAACTTCACCAATCACAAAGCATGTCTGCTCATGCAACATATCTATCCCATAAAATTATGCACTCAAATTTGGAATTGTGACATGTGATTTCACTGTCTAAAATGTCAAGTTTCATTTTGTTATAGGTTGGAATCCAAGATTGATTCCTTCAGTGTGTTCGGTGCTCAGCATGAAAATGGTGAAATACCACAGATGGTGAAGTCCCAGAAAGGAGATGGCGGGTCAGTTCTGTCCCTGTTAAATTTACAAGTAGAAACCAATCCCTTAGATGGCAAAGCAGATCAAAGGATAACGGTTACATCAAGACCACTGGAAATTATCTATGATGCCGTGAGTATGAACTTTGACCCCATTATATGATTAATGTTCAATATTAGGGGTGGATGCTGATTAGTAAAATATGACGAAATTTTGTTAAAGCAGAATTCTTTATTTTTTGCTGAATGAAAGTTTCATCAAATAAATGACAAAAAGCTAACATTTGCAGAATTTGCTCTATGACATCATGTTTACATTATGGCCAACCAGCATTTGAATGTGTGATAACAAATGCCGCTCACTGATCAACACTGGATTGCAATCTGCGGTGACAACATGATTGCCTGTTAAAGTTGTTTTATTAACAGGAATACATACATGAATAATCAATACCTAGTACTGAAAGCTTCAAATAACACATTTATTTTATCAGCACTGAATGACCAGTTTACTCACAGCAAATGTGCGTGCATGAAAAATGTAAACAAGTGCAACAACCTATAGCGTTAAACCCTACTTTCTTAGGTGACTATTTTGGATTGAGATGATACAATTGAGAATCTTAAGTCAAAAACTACGTTACCCCAAATGTTATGATTCATAATTATCTTTCCTTGAATTTCAGGTGACAATCAACCATGTTGCTGATTTTTTCAAAACACCAGAAGATGTGCACCTTAGCGAGTGAGTAGAGCTGTTTTATATGTACCGAAAATTTGAAGCTGTATCCTTAATAGAAGCCATACCCATTTTCGGAGGATTGAGTACCGAAAATTCACCAATTCTCATATGTGTAGATGCTCTAATAGAAGCAGCATCCCCTCTGTTGCAATATACCATTTTAATTAATAGTTGTGGCTTCTAGTACAGATTTTACAATACCATTAATACAATGAGATTCAAATAAGTGTGAATTATAATGAACTCTTTATTAGTCCCCGTTTGGACAAAGTCCGAAAACGGGGACTTATAATTCGGCCTCCGTCCGTCCGTCTGTGCGTCTGTGTGTCCATCCGGAGTCATATATCAAAATCCCTTGGACCGATTCCGTTCATTCTTTGCATGTGCTTAGTACTTTATGTGGGACATATGCACATGCAGTGGTTTAGCGATTCGATTCAAAATGGCCGATTGGCAGCCATCTTGTTTTTTGAAAATGTTTTATTTTGGACATGCTTTGTCCGTTTTCATTCAAACTTGGTACATAGATTATACATGTTAGGATATATGTCCATGACGATTTATTTCACAATTGGATCAAAGATGGTCGACTGGCAGGCATCTTTTTTTTTTTTTTATGCGGTATCTTGGACGTGCTCTAACAGTTCTCATTCAAATTTGGCGCATACATGTACTTTATACATGTTAGGATGCATGTCCATGACAATTTGTTTCAAAATCTGGTCAAGGATGGCCGATTGACAGCCATCTGACTTTTTGGCCTTACTACTATATTTCCACAATTTATGTACCATTTTCATTCGTATTTGGCACATACATCATACATATGAGTGTGTTTCATAATCAGATCAAAGATGGCAGAATAACGACTGTTTTTATTTTTGGCCATATTACTACTACACGGAACACATGTTT